GGCCGCGGGCTTGATCAGGCCTGTGAACACGTCCTTGTGGAAGGAGGAGGGGTGAAGGAGGGTCGTCAGGCTTTGAGCTGAAATTCTAGCCACTCGCTCCTGACCCTCCCAGCAGTGTGCAAATGCTCCTTTAGCTATCTGAGGTATTGGGAACTGCTGCATTATATACAAGAGGTGGAAAATTAGCTAAAGGAGGGAGCTCTACATGTGTAGCTTCAGGGAGGTTGGAGTCACCCATGTTGGCAGGAGACCTTTCAGTAACATGAGGTCAACCACACACCTGTGAGGTATTGGGAACTGCTGCATTATATACAAGAGGTGGAAAATTAGCTAGAGCGGGGGGGCTCTACATGTGCAGCTTCAGGGAGGTTGGAATCACCCATGTTGGCAGGGGACTTTTCAGTGACATGAGGTCAGCCACACACCTGCAAGTGATCCCTCACCTGTAGATGGAGTTTGGGTCCTACCTGCTGCCACAGCCATTTAGCCCCAAATAAACACATGGACGCTATATCAGTTATTCTATTAATCTAAGTATTTCCCCGTGGTCTTATCTTCCTGGAGAAGGGTTCAGACCTGTTACTCCTTCCTCCGCTACATGGCGTCTCCTCTCAGCTTCTCTTTGTCTCCTCTCCCCAGCCGCCTCCTCCTTCTGGTAGCCCCGCCTATGCTTCCTGCCTGGCTACTAACCAATCAGTGTCTTTATTCATCAACCAATAAGAAAAGCATACACACAGAAGGACATCCTCCATTACTCACCTATTTTCCAGTAAGTAGGCCGATTAACAGTGGCTCGTAAGCTGGACCTGGGCACAACTGACCCTCTTCTTCCTGCCATTGGAGCTCTTATCTAGAGTATGAATCTCTTTATATCTCCCCATGAAAACGAGCGCCGTGCCCTTTAAGAGCTGACAACTGAATTCTTGCCTTTACTCCCTTGTCTGCTTCTGCCTCCCTCACCTTGGAGAGGTGAGGAGGTGCAGGGACAGCTCCACAGAAGACAGTAAATGTGTTGTTGGTCTTGACTTGGGAGCAGGTGCCGGGAGGTGGGTGACTTCTTAAGCTCCTGCCCTCATACCTAACACCCTCTACTTGGGTGAATCCAAAAAAACAGATACAGAGAATCAAGGAGATGAGTGAATCTTGTTACTCTTGCTGATTATCCTGTTTGTTGTAGGAGCTGGTACTTGAACAAGGGGATGACACAGTATCCCTAAGGCCTGATTTAGAAAGCAAAGGAAAGAGAGAGGGAGGAAAATAAGTATGGTACTTAGGAACCATCTTCCTTCAGAGACAACTCTTGACAGTCTTTCCATCTTCCAATGTCTTTCTTCCCTGGTTTACAAAGTTTTAATTATAGAAATCTTTAACATCCTTGGCTAAGGTTATTAAAGGGTATTTTTAGGCTATTCTAAATAAGATTGTTTTCCGATGTCTTTCTTGGTATGTTTGTCATTGGCATATGGAAGCCCACTAGCTTTTCTGTACTATTCTGTATTCTGCGACTTTGCTGAGAATGTAATAAGTTCTAAGAGTCTGCTGGTGAAATCTTTAGCATCTCCGAGGTAGAGTCATATCACCTAAGTCCATGTGACCAGTGATCTCATTTAATTGAGATATTTCTGTCTGATTTTATTGATGGAATGGCTGGTCAGTTGGTGAGAGTGGGGATGGTGTCACCCAGTGTTTGGGTCAGTCTGTGGCTTTATATCTAGTAGTATTTTTGGTTTTTATGGAACTGACTGAATTAGTGTGTTGGGCATGTATGTTAGAATAATAATGTCCTCTTGATCGTCTGTTCCCTCAAAGATGAGTAGAGACCTTTATCTTTTCTCACCTGCTTTGAAGTCTGTGTTGTCGGACTTAGAACAGCGGTACCAGCTTCGTTCCTAGGTCTGTTTGCTTGGAAAACTTTTTCCATCCATTTATTCTAAGGTCGTGTCTGTCTTTTGTGATGAGGTGCATTTCTTGGAGGCAACAAAGGGATGGCTCCCAATTTTCAACCTTATCTCCTAGTGCCTTTTGACTGAGAAATCGAGACCATTAATTAGTATTCAGAGCTATTACTAAAAGGTGTGCAGTAATTGCTGCCATTTTTTTTTATAGTGTTTGGTTTTTTCCCCTCTTGCTTTACTATTATTCTAGGGTGGTTTATTCTTTCCTACAGCCTCATGGATGGATTTTTTTTCTCTTAATTATGTAGGATTCCTTTTAGTATCTTTGGTATAGCTGGCTAAGTGGCCATACACTTTTGTTTTGATCATTGAAAGTTATCTTTCCTTTAGCTGTGATGAATTTGCCTGCTATATAGCAGTCTGAATTGGCAGTTGCCTCTAGAACTTGAGTTCCACCTGTCGGTCAGCTCTCTGAGCTTTTAAAGTTTCAGTTAACGAATGTACTGTTATTTGCATGGACCCGCGTCCATGTGTGATGTGGTGTTTCTCTTGCAACTTTAACTATACTCTCTTTGTTCTGTATATTCAGTGATTTGGTTATAATACAATGAGGGAGGTCTGTATATTCAGTGATTTGGTTATAATACGATGAGGGAGGTGTTGCTTTTGTTTGTTTGTTTGTTTGTTTGTTTGTTTTGCCTTCTCTCCTTGCCCGTCCTTGCTGTCTCCAGTACTAGATTGGCATCTCTTTTTGTCTGTTTCAAGCCATCTTTGAAAGTGTTTTCTCTGCCTTTAGAGCAAGAATCTCCTGTGCTGTTTGTGAATCTTTTCAAACGATATTTGCACAGATGCCTTCTTTCTCCTTTGTCTTTGTGTTGTCCGCTCCCCTCCCCTTCGCTTCCAGGCTTGGGTACTCCGACTTCCTTGACCCTTTCCGCTGCTGTGACCTCCCAGCTGTCTGTTGGCGTACTGTCTTTTTACTTCCAGCATTCTGGGTTGGCTTCTCTTCATTATTTGTCTCTTTGCTGAATTCTTCCTTCCTGTCATCCATCCATCATTTTTAGTTCTGTCTGCGTTGTCACCGAACTCTCCTTCCCTAGATGCCACTACTGTGGGGTTACTAATCTTGGGGAGAGTTATACTGACGTGTGTGTGTGTGTGTGTGTGTGTGTGTGTGTGTGTGTGTGTGTGTTTCTTATGCTCCTGTGTTGGGATTTACACACTAGGTCTCCTTATTTTGCTGCATGCTTTGTTTTATCAGCTATATTCTTTTAGTTGAAGTATTTACAATGTTCACATGGGACTTGGCTGTGGTGGTGCGTCCTTGAGAAAATAATTGCTTAGTTGAAGAGCTCAGGGTGTCTGGTGTAAGTTTTGTATCATTCCCTGTGTTAAGATAACTGGGAAGGCAACCACGGCTTCTTGGTAGCTCAGCCATATGGATATTGTACTAGCATGAGCAACCCCACTGACTTAAGCCACTGTTGGAGCTACACAATCAAGGATAGTGTGGAGTGGTCTTGGATTCTAGTTACTAACTTGAGGGGCAGGAGGAAAGCAAGATGGCCAAGTGTGAGGACCAATGATTGACTGTAAAAGAATTGAGTTGGGTAAAGTGAGGCGGGAAGAAGCTGGGACATTGTTAGGGCCAAAGATTTAGAGGTTGTTACGTCTCTGGAGGTACAATTAGGTAAGAAGAGGAGGGGTAAGAATTAAAGAAGGAAGAAAAGGCTTAGGAATAAGAGCTGGGTCTATGAGGTGGCCGGTGAGTGTGGTAAAGAATGCCTTTTAGCCAACAGGGTGGGGAACATGGCAACTGTCCTAAAGCCTGACTGAGCAACATACGAGCAAAAGCAAAATCGCCTTGAGAAATGAATGCAAGAAAGAGCGGAAATTAAATAGTAGAAAATAAGGAATATAAAAAAAAATACTTCCAGCGTTAATTGTTGTCAGCTCCGCTGAGGTGGAATTCCTCGGTTTCCTCTGGGTCTCTGGCAGGTTCCAAGTGGTGCGGTGTGAGGGAGGGGAGAGGAGGAGCCATCGGTCTCCTCTGCAGCCCCAGGGTTCCTGGGGTTCTGCATGGGAAGGGGTGAGGCCAGATCTCCTTTCCTGGTCATTTCCCTTAGATTCCCTCTTCTTGCTCTGCAGCATGGGTTATGTGAGGGGCAGCACTTCCTGAGCCTTATAAACAAATATAATGTATATATATGCATGCATATATATATATACATATACACCTATATGCATGCTACTATTCAGGGATAGTGATACGACAGTGCTACTAAATTGCTCCTTGGGTCTGAGTAGCTATTATTGTGCAACAAGACAAATGGGACAATGGGAGGGGCATTTGTGGGATGGGGCATTTGTGGCATGGGGGCATTTGTGGGATGGGGCATTTGTGGGATGGGGGGCATTTGTGGGATGGGGGGGCATTTGTGGGATGGTGCAGGAAGTTCTGTGTGCGTCCTCCTGTTTGCTCCTGTCACCTTCCTGTATGCACCCCGCAGCTTTAGACACCAGGTGGGGACATTTTGCGCCCAATCAGCCATTCTTAGAACTCTGCCATGAAGCAGGATGGGTAATTTGTTTGACGCCTGGACTATAAATCTACCAACGGCCAGATTTTTTTTCTTTTTTTTTTTTTTAGCCCTGTATGATCTTGGCTTTTGCTTCTTACGGTTTTTGTTTTTATCACCTGAGACAGCGCGGTAGCCCGCGTCAGCCCGCGTCAGCCTTGACTTCACTCCGAGGCTGGTATTGCAGGCTGTATAGTACAAAAGGATATTCTCAAGCAGTGTAGAAGGCTGGGGTGTAGCTCAGTGGCAGAGCGCTCACCTAACATGCAGGATTCATTCTGTAAGACACACGAGGGAAGCCCAGCACCGCAAAAAGTGACGTCAGTCAGTCAATCGTAGCGTTATCTTTAGACTCTTGCTATCTGCCGGGGGGAGGGGGTGAGGGGGGATGGCTAGTTGCCAATCCCTAGCGAGAAAAGAAAAGGAGGCATTCCTTTGGACGACTATATTACCATGGCATGTTTAGTTTTTGCCGACTGCTGTGGCTCCTCACAATACCCTCTCTGTCCACCCTCTCCCCCCTCAGTATCTTTTTGCCACTTACATTGCTCCGTCAGCCACCCTGGACATCGGGCTCCAACAGGAAGGGAAGAAGGACATTTACATGAGGATACAGCCCCCATTCGAGGACCTTTTTGACACGGCAGAAGAGTACATCCTCCTCGTCCTTCTGGAACCATGGACACAGATGATGATGTCGGATCAAGTGGCTTACCGAAAGGTACGCAGGCCGGCCTGGCAAACAGCGCTCGCAGGAGAGGGCTCAGGCGTGGCCCCAGATGGCACCGCCCCAGATGGCACCGCCCCAGGTAGCAGGGTCCCAGGTGGGCCAGGGCTCTGCAGTCAAGATTGGGGAAGACCCCAGGCACAGGCAGGAAAAATGCTAATTAACTGTTTATTTATTTATTTATTTATTTTATCATCTTCTTCATTTCGTTTCTTGGTCAGTTTCCCATTATGTCTCCCAACAAAAGGCTTAGTCTCTGCCACTCTTGCTTCTCTGTAAGAATGCGTCAGAAGAGAAATGTGAGCTTTTACTTCATAAAAGTTGCCAAATTGGTGTCATCCTTCCCTGACATTTCCAAGCAGTGGTCTTAAGGCGAATGGGAAAGACCCATTTTATTTTCTGCTGGAGGAGTTACAGGAAATCTCTTCCCTACCCCGCCAACCCCGTAGGAAAATCTAACTGCTTCCCCGTGTGTCACGAAAAGCCCACCCTCTGACTTCAGCGTTCTATTTAAAGTACCAGGTGTGCACCAGATTGTAACGCCTGACTGGATAAGTTTGTACATTCCAAAAAAATGTCATTTTAAACCTCAGCACTGGGATCTTTTCATGATTATCATTGATAGAGGAAATTTCTTTTGAATCACAAATAAAACTGTCCCTGGGTATTCTTTTGTCCATTAGGTAAATGCGTGTACCCAGTACATGAGGCCACTGTTGGGGGGGGGCTGCTGCTGCAGAATTCCTATTCTTTATTAATATCTACCCAAGGACTTGAGCTGGCTACCAAGAAGGATCAATTAAGCAATTATGATAAAATCAATACAGAAACACTCTGCTTGGACTCACCTCATTGGATTGTGACTAAAACAATTCTAAAACCCTAATAAATTCAACAACCAAAATAATTAGATTTCTCAATTCCCTTCATTCCTTAATTCTTTCAGTTCTAAAAATTAACATAGTATCCTTTTTACTACAGGAATGTTGTGATTGCGTTAGAAAAATTAGAATACCGTGTGATGTTTTAAAAGCCTCTCTCAACTTACATTTATAATATATAACACATTTCATAGAAGAAATGTGGAATCTGTAATGGGATCCTGTAATTGTAACAGAAATTTGGGAGTATAATTGCCCTGAACCAAAACATTTTGGCAAATGAATCTTACAAAAATGTGTAAGACGGCTTATATACTGTTTGTTCTTAATAAAAGAGAAAGCATTGATGTGAACTCGGTCCCTAGAAGGACTTTGAAGCAGACTACCAAAGCTAGCTAGCTGCTAAATACAGAAAGTTCTCAGGCACCTAGCCAGCCCAACTTGACTGGTTTTTCCCTGCAATAGAGAATTGGAGAGTGGTTTTATTCTCCTGCCTATAGAAAATGATGATTTACATGTTAGGAAGACAGACCTGCTATGGGCAGTAATTTAACCAACTGTTTCCTCTTTTGCTACAGCAATAAAACACTTAGGAACACCAGTAAACAATGTTCTCCTGTGGAGTATTTGGTTCATATAGCAGGCAGCCTTCTCTGTGACTTGATTAGAAACTGAAAATGTGGTCGACATAGTTACATTGTCTGTGTATGCCCAGGGAGCAGGGGCTCACTGACAGCAACCATGTGATTAAATAGAAAGTATTCACTCTTTGTTGTGTACCTTGGATGTGTCACTTCATTGCAACTAATATTGTCAGTGACTCAGGGCTTTTCTGCTCCTGCCTCAAAAGCAATTCACCCAGTTCTTGGTGAAGTGTGTTCTGTCCCCCTTCTCCATGAAGGTGCATTCTTCTAGTAACATAAGCCTTGTTGGTTTTTAGGTAGAGCTACAAGAAGAGACCCGGCAGCTAGATTCCACATACTTCAGAAAGCTGCACGCTTTGCATAAAGAAACAGTTTCCAAGAAGGCTGAGGTAAGGCATTCCATACTTAGAAAATCGCCAGTTAGAATCCCAGGGACAGTTACCGCCCTGTACTCTGCTGGTAAGCGATCTTACATGGAGATGCTTATTGGTTAAATGGGCACCATCCTGCTGCCCCTTTGACTGGCGTAGTTGCTACATTAGACAGGCCAAGGTGTGACAATGACACAGCTAGAAAAACCAGGTTGGTAAAGCGACAGAGGGGCTTTCCTAAAACGGGAAACTTAAGCCTTAAACTACATGGTGATCCCTTAACTGGTGTCCATTATTTTTCTGCATGTCAGTGACCACATTTGTTCTCAAATTACAAGCGTTCAGTTGCATTTCCTAAACAGAAAGGAAACTGTCATGCCTTTCGCAACAAATTTTTTTTAAATATGGAAAATAATTGGAAATGTCAGTCAAAAGATCATAGGATTGGCTAGGATATTGACTCTTAGTTTTACTTACAAAATTATGAAATTTATTTGTTTGTTTGTTTGTTTTGAGACAGTCCCCTGTAAACTAGAGTGGCTTTTACCAAGTGTGTAGCTGAGGAAGGCCTTACTCTTATCTTCCTCTTGACACTGCCTCTCAAGTGCTGGGAGGTGGAACATGTATGAACCACCACACACAACTCAAATTTCCAAGTGTTGTATTGTATTGATTATATAAATATTGATCATCCCATAAAACCTATAAAATTAATGTTGCAATTAATTGACCTATTCAGGACATACAGTTATATAAAAATATATGGAATAAAAACACTGATGTCAAGCTGGGTGTGATGGCACACACCTCCCAGCTTCAACCCCAGCCCTCGGGAGGCAGAGGCGGGCCAATCTTTATGAGTCTGAGGCCAGCCTGGTCTACAGAGTGAGTTCCGGGACAACCAGGGCCACAAAGACATAGCCTGTGTCAAAACCAAACAAAAACCAACCCTCCAACTACTTAGGTAACATTATATATATATGCACATATGTGTTTGTATATGCAAAAAGAGATATCTGGGAAGCAGTTCACCAAAATGAGAGAGAGAGAGTTCTGAACAGTGGGTTTTGGGTGACTTTTAGTTTCTTTTTTTGGGGGTTTAACTGAAGTTTTTACTTTTATATAAATGTTTTTCAAAAACAATAGTTTTTAAAATAACACCTCAATAGTTTCTTTGTTGATGTGAAAGTTCTTTGATGTAGCATTAATTCAAGTCTGGGAAATACATAAGCATCCATAAAGGTAGTATATAATAATGTATTTTAAGATTCAGGAAGCCTGGGTGATTGTGGCGCACGCCTTTAATCCCAGCACTCAGGAGGCAGAGGCAGGTGGATCTCTGTGAATTCGAGGCCAGCCTGGTCTACAAGAGCGAGTTCCAGGACAGCCTCTAAAGCCACAGAGAAACCCTGTCTCGAAAAACCAAAAAAAAAAAAAAAAAAAAAAAAAAAAGAAAGAAAGAAAAGAAAAAAAAAAGAAAAAAGATTCAGGAAGAAAAAAATTATTTATTTATTTATTTGTGGATTTTCAAGACAGGGTTTCTTTGCATAACAGTCCTGGCTGTCCTAGAACTCACTCTGTAGACCAGGCTGGCCTTGAATTCTCTGAGATTCACCTGCCTCTGCCTCCCAAGTGCTGTGTTTAAAGGCATGTGCCATGTATATATAGTTTATTTATTTGTATGTATATATATTTACATATAGTTTATATGTAAATATGTATGTGTATGTATATACACAGAGAGACTAAGAGACTATATATGGTGATGATAGTTATCTCCTGGTGATAATATCATTTTATGTTTTTGCTTTTTATTGCAAAAGGCGTTTCCCCTTCATTACGAAATCAAAGTAATATTTTGAAAGCAAATATTTTGTACACGCAGGCACCCGTGTGAACTTGGGCTCATGCACTCTTGCACACAGAGTGCTTTGTTTATGTCGATGTATGTTTACTAGCACTCATTAAAAATGGATGGAGTAACTGTGAGCTCTGAAGTACATTTTTGGGTTACTTCAGTGTGTTTGGCAAGACAACTTGATATTTCTATCAAACAAATGACTTTCATATTGCAACGATCTTTGTAAGAACTACTCAAATAAAATTCTCTGAAAAAAAGCCGGGCGTTGGTGGCGCATGCCTTTAATCCCAGCACTCGGGAGGCAGAGGCAGGCGGATCTCTGTGAGTTCGAGGCTGGGCTGGACCGACCGCCTCCAAAACAATACAGAGAAACCCTGTCTCGTAAAAACCAAAAAAAAAAAAAATTCTCTGAAAAAGGCAAAAAAAGAAACAGGAGTAAATTTGAGAGTCAGAGTATGAACATCCAGTGTGTTTATCCAGCTCGTTAACTGACCTTGGCCCAGGAGATCATTTTTATCAGTTTTCTGTTTAAAACTGTAGACAATTTGTTGGATTTAAGAGTCTTGTGAAGTATTTTGTCTCCAGGACACCACTGGATCTGTGACTAGCGTGCTGTCACTGTCTGAAGTCTCTAAACAAACAGAGTACTGGAATAATGTCCCTGAAGAATACAAGCATTTCACCTTTAACGATCTCCTGAACAACAAACTGGAATTTGAGCATTTCCGCCAGTTTTTAGAGTCTCATTCTTCAAGGTGAGGAAAAAGTTGGTTTTAAATATAATTCTCAGTTTTTAAAAAAATCCCTTTTTGACACTGGTTTTGATTTATGCTATGTTAATGGCTCAGTAGTAGATCTTTACCTATGTCAGTGAGGACAAAAATCTGCTTACATGCGGCTGTGTTAACACATCCCCCCAACACACCCCGGTGTTATTTTCAGCAATCATGCAATGTTTGTTGGTGTTTCTAGCGCTAGCTAGCTTGAAACACTTTTTTCCGCTTTTCTTTTTCCTGCTGCTCCCTTTAGTATTTCCAGGAAGTGTCTCTTACATTTCACTAATTATTGTAAGAGTTCACAGTCTTACTAACTAATATACAAGTCACACATTGTAACCTGAAAACTTTGCAGTCCATAAACTAAAATATCGCTCACATTTTTTCTCTCTCACATTCACGGAAACTGGTTTGAACTCAGAGCCAAACTTCACCATTTCGCCTCATCGTGGTGAGGAGTATTCTAAATGTGTCCCATCGTTAAGTAACCATGACATATATGTGGGATTTTCCCCCATATTTGAAATTGGAGCTACTAGTCCCACATTAAACGAGAGCCCTGAGATACCACTGGTAAAGGGGAGATCTGTTTCTGTCCCTGGTACCCCTTGCCTAAAGTGATTTGTTTAGCAGGATTAAGACTGTAGCAACAGTGGAGGCCACTGCACTGGGCTTGGATCGAAGCTTCGATGTAGTCCTCCATCCGACCAGATGGCCACCTCCCGACTGTCCACGGCTTGGCTGGTATCTAGTTGAATTTAGTGGAATAACTAAGAAGGAGCGTGCTTTCTTTCTTTCCAGCATCGACCTGTCTTGTTGGATAGATATTGAGCAGTTCCGAAGAATCCTATTTAAAGACCAAAAGCAAAGAGAGGCAAAGTCTATATACATTAAAAACAGATACCTTAATAAGAAATATTTCTTCGGCCCCAGAAGCCCTGCTTCCTTGTATCAGCAGAACCAGGTATGAGCTTGTTAGAAGCGTAAAAGTGATCCTTTCTCTTTGTCAACAGCTTGACAGTGTCTTTTTGGGTAGACTCTTCGGTTTAGATATTTGTGGGTTATAAAAAGACATCATGTCATTCACCTAGGTCAGTATTAAGGGCAGCGTTCATAAGTTTGGGGGTACAATCACGGCTTCACACTGCCTTGAATTGGTCGTTCATTCATTTGAGTGACTACACAAGCCGTTAGTATGTCACATGCTGCTTTAGGTGCTCAGGACCAAGTGTGAAACCCTACATACATGTGTTTCAACAGCAGAAAACAGCAATTATCCACCCCCGAGCCCAACCGCTGGCTCTGGTTCCTTCCCCTCAGCTGCTGCTACTCAAAAGGCTTTTGACCTTGAAAAACCCTGTTTATGATTAAGTCACCCTAGAATGGTTGGTTTTTTTTTTCCTTTGTTTTGTTTTGTTTTGTTTTTCTCAGATGACATCTCTTTCCATAGCCCTGACTGTCCTAGAACTCGCTATGAAGACCAGGCTGACCTCAAACTCACAGAGATCCACCCTCCTCTGTCTCCCAAGTGCTGGGATTAAGGGCGTACACCACCATGCCCAGCCTCGAAGCTTTTCATGGGCAGTGAACATAGGTTTAGTCACCTCGCTGTACCATGACAGTGGCCTGGATTCCCGATTCTAATAACAGTAAAGCCATCAATTACAGGAAACAACCTGATTGTACTTTTGGATTTAGAAGTAAAAAACAATTTATTTAGCGTGAGGTTTCTTCCCTTATTATCTAAAGAGCAAATGTTGTTCTGTATCCTTTTTTTATTTTTAAATATCCCCAATGGCTTATATATTTAGAAATGGAAGCTTCAGAGTAATGTTAAATTCGGTAAAGAAAAAATCTCTGAAACAGCCATGAGTTCAGCCGACCCACATCATAAGCTGTCCCTGAAGCAGGTAAAGGAGCAGGGACTTGGAGGGGAAGAAGGAGCATGTTAGAGGCGTGGCCGGGCATCTGCGCAGGCGGCCGTGTGTCCAGTGAGGTCTCGGGGCATCTGGCACTGCTGTGTGAGCGTGCTGTACTGCATGCCGCATGCTGAGAATTTAGGCATCAGTGGGAGAGTCACCATCGCCATGGAGCAAATGGCCTCGCTTAGGACACTTTCCTCCCGGCCAGTCTTTGTCTTGGCCGCTCTAGCCGTCCCGTCTGTAATTTATTCTTGGGAATTTTGCCTCACCTTTCATACAGACCACCCTGCCCCTGACTGAGTTCAAAGCCACTTTGCTCTCTCATCAGCAAACCAGTCTTTTTGTTTTCAGGAAAATGCAATCTTATTTTTTTTTCAACTCTTGTTTAACATTGTTAGGGGTGGCTAAAAAGATGACTTCGCTATACAATATACATTTTATTATTTGCTATGAATTTATGTAAAATGTTAGGTAGTATTTTCTTAATGTTATTCATCAAAGGTTAACTGAATAGAGAGGGCTGGCTCATTCCAGTGAGCAGAACATTGACAGTGCGTAGAGACAGGTAGAGACAGTGATTTGCTGCCAGAGGTAGCCACGGTCGAGGCCCTCGGCTGCCGTTTCAGTCAGTGCCGCCTCCTCTGTGCCCTTCCCGAACGTTATCAGGAGCACCCGTGGGGCAGTCGCCCCAACATCTGCACCCAGCAAACCCATCAGCCGAGTTTGTTGCTGATGTGTCCATCTCCAGTACCCCGGGTCAGGATCCCTGTAACTCAGGCCTCACCTACAAAAAAGAAAAATGCTCCCTCACCCGGGCGATAAGGATATTAGGTATCGAATAGAACTCGGAAGAGCAACACTCAAGGCCTGGCGTCACGAGACCCTGCAGGGAAACACAGTTAGTACCCGGGAGCCAGCGTGGAGCTCAGGGGCAGGGGTCTGGCCCTGGCACCGAAAAGAAACGAACACAAAACTGAAACCGACCTCACTCCCGTGCTTTTCCCCATATTCCACAGGAAGCAAAACCACACATTAGCCACTACTACCCACAGGTGTCACATAACCAGAAGACGGTCTGTGGGAAACGGGAATTCGTGGCACATTCCCCGTGTGACACGCAGGGGGAACTAGCGGGCGAGTGGCTTTTATCGGTCAAAAGAAAAGCGTGTGATTCCTGTCCTGTCTTTACCCCCCCCCCCAGATCATGCTGCTGAGCGGAGGCTGGGGGAGGATCCTGCACGAGCAGCTCGACCCACCCGTGCTGGTGGAAATCCAGAAGCACGTCCTGAACAGGCTGGAAAACGTGTGGCTGCCATTGTTTCTCACAAGTGAACAGTTCGCCTCACGCCAGAAGGTGAAGGTAGGTGAACAGAGCAGTCTCGGGGGGCGCAGCGACTGGCAGGACCCGGCCGCACCTGCACCGCGAGTGAGCACCAGCTGACCCGCCACCGTCCTTCGGTGGGTGACCGCGAAAAGTGCGGATCCAGCTGCTCCAGCGTTAGACACGCATTCGGGGTTCCTCCTCCTCCTCTGAGTTTTCATTCATTGTTTTCTCACGGGAGAACTGCACACGCCGTAATCCCAGGGCTCTGGAGGTCGAGGCAGGGGGATTGTGGCAAGTTACAGGCCCAGATGCAACTACAAAATGACTCCCTGTCTCAACAGTAACAGCAGCAATGAGTGCTTGGTTTCCGAGCATGGCGCCTGGCCAGGAGAGTGGATTTAAACAGCATCTGGCAATGCAAATGGGCTTTGGTTTTGTTGTTGTTTGGTTTGGTTTTTTTTTTTTTTTTGTGGTTTGGTTTTTTATTTTTGTTTTAGAAGCAGGGTCTTGCCTGGTGGTGGTGCACGTCTTTGATTCCAGCACTCGGGAGGCAGAGGCAGGTGGATCTCTGTGAGTTCGAGGCCGGGCTGGACTGACAGCCTCCAGAACAATACAGAGAAACCCTGTCTCGTAAAAACCAAAAAAAAAAAAAAAAAAAAAAAAAAATAGAAGCAGGGTCTTTTTCCGTAGCCCCGACTGGCCCGGAACTCACTGTGTACACCAGGCTGACCTCGAACTCACAGGCTTGTACCACCATGCCTGGCTGGCAATCAATATTTTTAATGTTATTAAGTTTTCACAAGGATGAATAATAACATACATGAGCGTTCACTGCAGTATCACACAGGAGAATAGTTTAATAAGTTAGTAGTAACGCCGTTCTGTGGAAGGCTCTTCAGAATTCCATAAGTCCCATAAATGGGACTTTGATATACAAATGAATTGTCCACATGTATTGACATGTTCACATGTACTGACAGAGGTCCACGTGTACTGACAGATGTCCACGTGTACTGACAGATGTCCACGTGTACTGACAGATGTCCATGTGTACTGACATGTCCACATGGACTGACAGATGTCCACATGTACGGACAGATGCCCACGTGTACTGACAGATGTCCACATGTACTGACATGTCCACATGTCCTTTGAAAAGTGAGGACTTTCACCTTTCATTTTTCAAGGCAGCAGCAGTTCCCCAGAGAAGGGCGATACAATACACTACCCGAAAACCCCCAGCGACAAGTTGTCGCTTGGTATCCAGAGAGGACCCGGGGACCCCTAGAAGTCTGTACATGCTGAAGTCCCTAATACAAAATGAGGCTGTATTTGCGTACGATTACACACGCTTCTCCATCTACTTTTATTTCACCATCAGATTACTTAACGAAATCACGATGCAACATAAATGCCCAATAAATCTAGAATAATAAATATAAGAGGCCCGGTCATACTCCGCACAGATGCAGTTTCTCATGTGAGCATCCTGCATCTCAGGCTAGTTGAGTCCACAGACGAGGAGCCAGTGGATACGGAAGGCAGCGGGCCCTCCGTGTTCCTGCGAATTAAGGGTCTCTTCTGAAGTCGCCTGTGGGAAATGGAAAATGGCAAGGAAAAAGCGCGACACCTGTGAGGCCATCACTAACGCCGCAGCTTCAGGCATCACCTCCACAGAGCAGCGCGGTCAGGTGGCGGCCACGCAGCTGACGAAACCGACTTCCCAGGGGAAGCCACCCAGAACGCGGACTGCAGGGTTTTCTTCTCAGTCGGAGGCTTTTTCCAGAGTGACACTTTCCTCCCTAACCTGACCTCTGCCTCGTGTCTTAGGCTGTTAAAACATTTTGGCTGCTCTGGACACAGCGGTAAAGTAGTTGATTCTGCTTTTAGATACGGATGAAGGACATAGCGGATGAACTTTTGCAGCAGAAGCCTGACAGGAAAATTGGAGTTTGGAAGGCAAGTAATTGTATTCTCTCTCTTATAAATCCTGCTCTGTCAAAATAGCACACACACACACACACACACACACACACACACGCTCTGACTCTCTGTCTCATATACACACACATACATACACTCTCATATACACACTCATTCTCAAACACACACTCACAAATACACACTCATTCTCATACATACACACTCATTCTCATGCACATGCACTCTCATACATACTTATGCATATAATTCTCACACACATTTACATGCACATACATATATACTGTCACACACACACACTCACAGTCATATACTAACTTACCCTCACATACACTCTCCCTCCCTGCATCCCTCTCTCTCTGTCTGTCTGTCTCTGTCTCTGTCCCTCTCTCTCAAACACACACACACACTCACACTCACATATATTCTCACACACGCTCACAGTCATATACTAACTTACCCTCACATACACTCTCCCTCCCTGCATCCCTCTCTCTGTCTGTCTGTCTCTGTCTCTCTCTCAAACACACACACACACACACTCACACTCACATATATTCTCACACACACTCATAGTCATATACTAATTCACCCTCACATAACTCTCTCTGTCTCTCTCTCTCTCTCTCTCTCTCTCTCTCACACACACACACACACACTTACACGACTAGTCCCTGACCCTCACTGTTTAAACCTCCGACTGATGGCCGGCCGGTTGTGTTCCTGCTGGCGGACGGAACTTGGGAGAAAGGGCGACTCCGCAGAGCTCCTGACCTGGTCTCCACTGTGGAGCACATGTCCACCTTAACATTCACTTTCTACCCTGAGGCCCTAGGTTTGGTCCCCGACACTGGGGTGGAAGGACACACACACACCTGTTTAATTGCGTATGTCCTGGGTGTGTTGGACTAGTTGTGCTTACAGAGTGCGGTGGTCTCGTATCAGGAGAGCGCATCACACAGAAGGAAAAAGCCACAAGAAGCACGGCCAGCAGGCCAAGGCATCCTTCATTGTCCCTGTGCTCCAAACTGCAGCTTAGCTTGGAAGCAGCTGCGGCAGCTGCAGTTTTGGAGATTATTGCAATCTCTGTCGTGCGATGCTTTAGTAGACGGCTTACTTTGCTGCTTAGCAAACATGGCAATCCCAGTCCTGTTAGTGAGTCTACAAGTTCCCGAGGATTTAGCCTCTAGAGGCCATGAAAATCAAGACCCAGGTAACCCCTCCAAATTAGCGAGCAAAGATAAAGGTTTATCCGCACGGTAGAGGAACTCGTCGGGAAGCCGCCTTCTTCGTCTTCCCCTCGGAGGGAGGCGCTCTTTTGAAAGGTTTGTTTTTGTTATAGTTTTATTGAAATACAAAGTATGGAGAGCTCATAGTTTGCATTACTGTTGAATTATATTTTGCATTATTTCCTATTTATTTAAATTACAGGTTTTCGTTAAATGGCTAGGTTTTAGTGTCTTAAGAAGCAGGTCTTAAAACAGTCTTTGTTGAGTGGGTTTTAAATAAACATCCCACTTTAATCCATAGTTGTTCCTATTTATAGGGTTGTAATCTTAATGTGGACCAGATGTTGAGAGCCTTAAGTTTTTGTCCAGAGAACGTGGCATGTGCCTCCCTAAACAGTGATAGGCATCTCTGTCCTGTTCTGGGCGAGCAGCACCACCCAGACTGCTTGGAGCTGCTGTCATTTTCAGTCCCAGTTTGGGGCCCTTCCTCTGTGCAGCCTGCCCCACTCCAGGCGGGACCCATTACTCTTTCCTTGGTGCTCCTGGGGGCATTTCTCGCAAAACCCCCTCAAGCATTCGTATGCACGGTCACATGTGCTTATTTAGACCTCGTCAGGAGCGGCAGTTAGTCAGCGGTGCAATTTGTATGTCCGTCTAAAGTGTTGCCTTTGGAACAATGCTTCCTTGCATGGCCATCTACACACATCAACTCAAGTCTATTTTCAATACATAAATATGGCAAATCTAGTAAAAATCTGTTTATGCTTTTCGAATCTGAGGGAGCAAGAGAGATTGAGCATGTGACTTTAAATGGGCAAAATATTTTCAAAAGTTTATTTTAAAATTGTTACAATATAAAATAGATGTAGATAAAATACCTTTAAGTATTATTAAAACATCATGGGTAGCTCTAGATTTTATGATACGTAAAGTGAATCATCAAGTCAGGAGAATTTCATTGTTAAAAAAAAATCCCAGTTCTCAGGAGGCAGAGGCAGGCAAGCCTCTGTGAAGTGAAGCCAGCCTGGGCTGCATGGTGAGTTCTAGGCTAGTCAGGGCTGCATGGCGAGGCTTTGTGTCAAAATAACAAAAAGAAGTATTAATAGTCTCACAGTGAAATTCAGTGGTACACTACTTGCCCTGCGTTCACAAGGCCCTGGCTTCCATTCCTAACAGCATAACGTTAATATATTTGATAAGCAATAATTGTTAATTACTATTGTGAATTATTATGATTATTCATTAGAATTCATAGCTTACTAAAATGGTTTAAAATCATGTCATATAAAAACATGATCCTACCAGGATAGAATCAGAGTAAATTTTCAACTTAAATTATAGAATTACTTGACTTTTCTTAGAAATATTGTAATCTCAAAGAATAAAGGAAATAATTAAAAAGTATGCAATCCTGAGATGAATCATGATGTAACTATAGCTAATCATAGCATTACAATTACTCTGTTCTCTTTTACCCCCATTGGTTGCCAGCAAACTCTAACGGCCGCTAAGATTTTTAGCAATGTAGTTCACGTGTAAACTACTCAGTAACTCTTTCTAGTGCTAAAATGAATGGAGCCATTTAAAAAGAGACAAAAGGCAGAGAGTCAGAGGGGAAGACTGTCAGAGTCTATTACAGCCACACCACAAATTTCAGTAGCCAACTCAAAAGGAAGGGAAGTTGGTGGTTGTAGTCTAACTAATGACTTGCTTGCTGCTTTTGGAACATGCCTGACTTCCTGTATCCTTTGGACAGCCTGTGGCGAGTAAGTGGATATCTTCATCCTGTGAGATCATTGCCTTCCGAAAAGCCTTATTGAATCCAGTCATTGCACGGCAGTTTCAGCGATTTGTGGCCCTGAAAGGAGATTTACTGGAAAATGGAGTACTTTTTTGGCAAGAAGTACAAAAGTTTAAGGTATTGTATTGGGAACTGGAGAAAACCGCTCTTGTTTGAAGACATGGCACATTATGATGGGAGCTGCATGTCTGAAGCTCATGGATTCGTATAACATATCCCAATATTGCCAGTTTCCTTCATGCTAATGTTTAAACATTGGCATACTTACTGTCCGCTGTCTAGAGACACCTCTTGCTGTATAGTGAAGAGGAAGAATGAGCCTCCACCATAGTATTTGTGCTTTCGAGAACAGGCGGTGTGTCTAGTACATTTCTGAAGAGTGTCTTAGCTATGCCTCCTGCATCTGTAAATGCACCACACACATTTTTCCCCACCTGGAGACATTCCTAGTTGGTCTAGCCATAGAGCAAAGACCTTTTTTACAAGGATTCTTCCTAATCAAGTGTACAGTGATAATAACTAAGTATGTCGCTTTACTCGTGAACTGGCAGAGACAAGGGAAGCTCTTCTTGTAGAAACAGTGGCCACATTCAGAGCCAAAGTGGTAAAGGGGTGGGCTTAGGTATAGAGGGAGCTTAGTTTCCGTCTTGGAGGTCTTCATTTAATCACATAGAATATATGCCTTAGATAAGAGAAGGAGACTCCCTTTGTTTTGCTGTCTAGACATGCCTGAGTGGTATCTAGCCCCTCCCTAAATACTTCAGGGGTGTGGCCTGCTTTCCTCACAAGCAGCTGATTCTATCTCATTGCAAAAGTGTGGGGGAAAGAATAAATTTGAGATGATGATTTCTTTTGGCTCATAAGCGTGTCTTGAGAGCAACACTAATGAGTTGTTTAACGTCTCGTTGTTGGGTAAAAATCCAAGTTTTCATCCAACGTCCCATGAACTTAGCTTTGTTGTTCTTGTTCTCCATTTTAATATCTCTTCTGCAATGTAGCTGCAAACTTGTGGCGATATTCCTCCTTCAGCCTTGGGCGGTTTGAATAAGAATGGCCCACATAGGCTCATATATTTGAATGCTTAGTCTTCAGGGAGTCTCATTACCTGGGAAGGATTACAAGGTGTGACCTGCTGACCTTGCTGGAGGAAGTGTGTCACTAGGAGTGGGCTTTGAGGTTTCAAAAAAAAAAACCCATGCCAGGCCCAGGGTCTTCCCCCTTCTACCTGAGGGATCAAGATGTAGCTCTCGGCTGCTGCTCCAGTGCCTGCCTGATGCCATTTTCTATACCGTGATGATAATGGACTCAAGAAACCACAAGCAAGCCCCCAACTAATGCTTTCTTCCGTCAGAGTTTGCCTTGCCCATGGTGTCTCTTCACGGCACTAGAACACTACACCAAGACAGAAGTTGGTACCAGGAGTGGGGTATTGCGGTGACAGGCCTGACCACACTGCCTGTTGGCTGAATGTGGACTTTGGAACTTTAGATTATCAAAGCAGTTTAATGCCTTAGTGGGACTTAGTGGTCATACTAGTAGGAGCATGGAAGACAGTGGTGCTGAGAGCAATGTCGATGGTGATGGCCCCATTCAAGAGGTTTCGGAAGAGAAGAACATTAGCAAGTGGCCCAGAGTCCATTTTTGCGGTGGTTTTTTTTTTTGCCAAGAATGTAAAAAAAAAAATCTGCCTTAGACTAAACGGAAGAGTTTAGTATTAATGGCATGGGCAGACAGCCTATCCCTTGACTGTGCCGTGTGGTTATTAGTGGCCAGTCTTGTGCAAATCTGTAATGAAAGTGAACACCAGGCAGTGTAACAGAGGCCTGACCTGTGAATTCCAGAGGGAAGTTCGAGTGTCACTTAAAGACTCTTCTTAGGGTCACTTGCCCTTTGAGTTGAGGCTCTGTGGTTCTGGCCAGCTGAGGCTAACGAGTCAGCAGCGATTAACAAGAGACCCCCGAACTGAAGTAAAGCCTTTGCTTTACTGGGACAGCTGATGCTGGTCAGCTGGGGATAAGCAACTCAAGATGATTAAGAAGAGACCAGGATCGCCGAGGAAAACTCTTCTGGGGAGTGTTTCTTCAGAGTCAGCATGCAGAAGCTGTGTTCTTGTGATGGCTGCCAAACTTGACAGCGTAAGCGTCACCCAGATGGAACTGGCTTTGAAGGCATGAAGGGGTCACAGAGAGCAGCTGGGGTTTGGCGCTGTCTGACGGGGCTGTGGTGCCTGAAGAGAGCCCAAGAAGGGCTATTGGTGAAACCGCAGCCCATTTCCAACAGAAGACCCCAGCATTTTGGAGATGCCATTACCAAGGGACGGCAACCAAGAAAAGCTGTAGGTACGGAGTGGAGCCGTATGGAACCCCGAAGAGAAGCTGTGTGTGCTGTAGAGAGTAGAGCCAGCTGTGAAGTTAGTAACTGTGCTCTGACTTTATGTAAGCAGGACCAGAAAATACTTGAGAAAGCAACTTAGAGAGAGAAGGGGGGCCCCATCCTTACCACCTCCTGCCCTCATGATCTAAGTATCTTTGGGACAACTGGTCTACTTTCCCAATCCCTTAGGTGTTTCTCAGTCCAATCAAGTTGACACAATTATCACAAGGACTAAATTTCATCACCCCCTAAAAGCTCGACTTTCAAGTGTACCAGGCATTGCATGCCTCAATGTGTAAAATGTGTAGTAGTGTGCACTTGTCTGACGGGGAGGTAGCATCTGTGGAAAGGAATACTAGGAAGGAGTGTTAGTTATGACCATGTTCTGATGAGGTGAAGTTTATCTGGGAGTAGGTGATGGCTGAGATGGAGAGATGGTAGGTCAGGAAGGTCTCAGTGAAAGTGTTGATGTCTGTATCAGGTCTTGAGGGAGTGCAACAGCTCAAATGTCTTACTAGACTAACTCTTAAATAGCTTCCTTCGAAAACTTCCTAGCAGGGCAGTGCAACTAATCATATACCCTTGATGGAAGAATGGTCACCTCCACAATGGACCGTGCAGCTTTGGGAGAGACACATGGAGTAACCATGGAGGAAAGGGATGCCCATCTAGCCAGCCAGATCTGCCAGATCAACCCTGGGAGTCAGTGGGGTAACATATATCACAGTCAGATTGCCTTGACACCCATGGCTTACTCTTGGTGTTTCCCGTCTGCCAGGGGTCATTTTAATGCTTTTCTTGTGGTCATGGGTTGATTATTCACAAGAACCCTGTGATAGCAAGGGTGTTATAGTTAGCAATTTACAGGTGAAGATGCTAAAACAGAGAAAAGCTAAGAAACTTCCACTACGAGGTAGCTCAAGAAGTGACAGAGCTGGACTCTCAACCAAGTCCACTGTGTTTCTGAAGCCCGCACCATTAGCCACCAAGCTCTTCTGCATCCTAGTAGTGACATTGGAAATAGGCAAAGGGACAGCTCAGGTCATCTTGGTCAAATGGTGCTCTAGATGGTGAAAAAATCAGAAAGAACCAAGTCTACAACAGGATATTGGGTACTTAATTGAGATGTCCATTCATCTCTACAGTCAACAGAAATCATTTAGGAGAATGGTTAGTGATGTAAATTGATGTTTATCTATTGTAATTTCTCTAAAGCTAGTAACTGAGTGACAATATGGCTCCATACAAAATTTGTGTTCATGTGAATATCTGTAGAGGGGAAAAATCAGAAGGATGTACTCCAATCTCTCAAGTTTTTGGTTGACTCCAACCCTTGACACAAGGGCTAAGCTGAACTCGAAGGGTAAAACAATGACCAAATAGGGTTCCCTCTGAGACTTACAGTATCTAAAGAGAGACACATGAATAGACAAGATACATTCAAGGCCCAGGATGTTGGGGACAAGGGTAAGATGGCATCTCTATTGGCTGAAAGCTTACTAGAGGGAAGCATTTGTGTGTGTGTGTGTGTGTGTGTGTGTGTGTGCGCACGCGTGCGCGCGTGCACACACTAAATTCCTAGCCTTTATTTTAGGCGTGGTTTTTATTATTTTAAAACAATCTTTTCTCATTTTACTTACCTATCTCAGTTCCCACTCCCTCCCCTCCTCAGGAGGAGGGAAGCATTTCTTAACTCTAGTAATCTCATAATAGGTGAGAGTTAATGGGGCAAGAGCCTTTAATCCCAGCACTCAGGAGGCAGAGGCAGGTGGATCTCTGTGAGTTCAAGGTCATCCTGGTCTACAGAGTGAGTTCCAGGACAGCCAGGGCTATGTAGTAAGATCCTGTTTTGGAAAAGAAAAGAAAAAAGAAATTGGGGAAAAAATCAGCTATGATTCTAACTCCCATCCCGTTAGTTAGAATTAATATTCTGTAACATTGCAAATTTGTTTTTACTTCACAAGTTTATATGCCATAATTATAATCTATAATTATAACTATACTGTAACCCTACAGGTAAGGGTGAACAGTGAATATTTGATAATATACCAGATTTATGCAGTGCAAATACATCTTTTCTGAGTTGCTGTTAAATTGAGTAGACATGCTGTTTATAACGTAATGTTAATATTAAGCTCCCCCTCCCCCCACATAACATACGGTAAATGCTACATAAAGTTTCACACCACTGGTGCCAAAAGTTTTCCTTCTTTAGTATCCCAAGACATCTCTGACATCGACCGGTGTTCACTGAGCCAATGCTAGCTCATCTCTGGCCTAGAATTAGACGTTTCCAAATTTATTTGCTTTTAGCTGATCTACAGAGCAAAAACTCTGACACAAAAAAATGCTGTAATTCAAGCCAAGCTGTCTATTAAAAAAAATACTGTCTCCAACTGTGGCTTTAAAACTAGGACATTTTAATACACTATCACTACTTTTAAAACCCTTCTAAAAGGAATAGTGTGGTGATGTTATGGTTGAAACACTAACTGACCCCCCCTCCCCCACCCCGCCCCTGGGCTTGTATGGCATGTAGTGAATACTCGGTCATGGGGGGGGGCGCTGTTCTGAGGAGTAGAGGTAGGGTCTTGCTGAGGATGGGTTCCTAGGGCATGACCTTGAAGGACATACGGCTCAGCCGTGGTCCCCCTTCCTCGTGCTTCCTACCCACCAAGAGGTGAGAAAACTCAGCCACATGCTCTACCTACAGGAGGGTCTGCTTCACTGGCACCCCCAGAATCCACCCTGCCAAGGGGTGTAGCCTTGAACCTCTGGAACTGTGTACCAAATGGAGGATACACACACGCACGCGCACACACGCGCGCGCACACACACACACACACACACACACAGCTGCTTTTCCTCGTATTCGCTCACAGCGACGCAAGAGCAGCTCATGACGATGGGGTGACTGGGGCACTATGGGTCCTCAGTCTTTGGAAGGGCACACCTGCTTAGCAGCAGCAGGCAGAAGGGAAAGCTCTCATACCCACCCGTGGCCTGGTAGGTGCAGGATCCTCAGGGTTCGGCTACGGTTCCACCGCGGCATTCGAGCAGCCGGGTCTCACATGCCTCCGCTAGCTGCTGACGAATCATACCAGGCGTCAAACACTGCCCCTGCCCAGGGAAACAAGTGACAGAATTAAAGGAAAAGTGAGCCAGGCGCACTAACATCAGGCTCCCTGAGTCCAAAGGAAAGGGTCTTTATTAAAGATAGTGCTGACGTGTCACCGCGCCTTCACAAGCTAAGAGGTATACACTGCGAAGAGCTCTGAAAAAGCACCAGTCACATCCTCCTCTCCCTCCCCCTCCCCCTCCCTCTTCTCCTCCCCCTCCCCCGCCCCCTCCAGGACTTGTGTCACTCACATTGCAGTGAGTCCATCATCCAGAAGAAGATAACCACCATCATCAACTGCTTCATCAGCTCCTGCATCCCACCAGCCCTGCAGATTGACATCCCAGTCGAGCAGGCCCAGAAGATCATCGAGCACAGGAAGGAGCTGGGACCGTACGTGTTCCGAGAGGCACAGGTAAGAGCAGACGGCGACGGCTGAGCGTGTGCCGAAGCAGCCCAGGGGTGAAAGTATTCTTTAACGCTTTGGCGTTGCTCGTGCGTGGCAAGATTTTACTCTCCCCGGTACCGGGATTTGCTCTCTTTAATGCAGACATCTTTTGCCTACGCCACTGAAATACACGAAACCAGTGACTCACAGACTGTCGTTGATAATGACTCAACTGAACTACATATGCTTTAACTTTTCACAGTTCCTACTTTTATCTACAAATGGTGAAAATACTCCAGGTGATTCCTCCTCCTTTTTAGCATTCACGATTCCCTTTTCAAACATCTGCTACCACCAAAACATGCAAAATATGTGTGTCTTACAATCTGTGTACTTTTAAAGATTGAAACATTGGCATCGCTCATAAAGTAAGTGGGAGGAGATTTAAGCGCTCCGCCAGCGGTTAGTGTCCGCTCATGAAAGGAAAACCCGGCCTCGGTACCTGCTCAGATTACTCCTCCTTATGTTAAATAATAGGAAGCATTGGCCTGGTGGGCATAACTTCTTTGCATTTTGAAAACCCTTTTAGTGATGTTGTTCCTAAAGAAAAGAATGATTAAGAAAACTAAGTTATAATAGGGGTAACAAGAAAGGGCCATGTCACAGATGAAGTGACATGAAACAGATCTGGAGTGTGATTGTTCGGGCATGGAAAGAGGCCACTGTCCCTTTGCATCCATTTGTAAGCCAGCTGTATAAAGTCATCTAATTGAGGGAAAGCAAACTCACCATCCAAACTACGCGTTAAAACAGGCAGAGGGGCAGCAGAGGGTGCGCAAGAGAGAAACAGAAAGCACGGCCCCCAAACTGAAGCCTCTGCTAAGATCTCAGGACTTCGCCTGACCGTGCAGTCCTCACAGATCAGAACAAGACATCCCATCCCGGGACTGAGCATAGACATCATTGGCGGGACCCGCGTCCTCAGGCTCACAATGTCTGCCTGGTTTCCTGAGGTGGAGTCTTAGAGGTCAGAGCGTCCGAAAACACACGAGTCTTCACGTGACGTCCCCTGTCCTCGAGTCTGTAATTATTCCTGTTTACCGAGGGGCCGGATCCCTTACCCCAGAGATGCGAGCCCGAGACCTGGCGGCCATCCTCACGTCCCTCCTCTCCGTCACTGCTTTGACTTCACGTGCGAGCAATCCTGAATCTTAGGCATGGATCTCCCGATGGGACATGCTGTCCATGTCTTTACCTCCACACCACTTCAGATCCACAAAGCCTTTATCAGTACCGAAGCTCCCCGGGTCTGGGCTCTCTCCAGCCAACACGCTGCAGGCAAAGCCCTTTTCCCAAAACAGTGACAGGTCGATGGTGCTGTCCTCTGCTTGGAATGCTCTGCTGTCTCCCTGCCTGCTGCCCACGGAGCAAAGTGGGTTTGCTGCTGAGTACCCCTTAGCTACGTCTCCTACCACCCCTCTCTTCTTCCCCAGGGTCCCTGAAACAGCTGCTGTTCCACAAGTGGCCCTTTCTGTCTTCAGTCCTGAACTCTGTGCAGTGCCATCGTCTCTCCCTTGTGTCTGTCTGTCCTTTGTGTCTGTCCTTGTGTCTGTCTGTCTGTCTGTCCTTGTGTCTGTCTGACTGTCTGTCCTTGTGTCTGTTTGTCTGTCCTTGTGTCTGTCTGACTGTCTGTCCTTGTGTCTGTCTGTCTGTCTGCCCTTGTGTCTGTCTGTCCTTGTGTCTGTCCCTGTCACAAGACGGATAGCACTAAATACAAAGCAGACGGTGTGTTTCTTTTTCGTCTTTGTGTTCTAAATGCAGAGCAGGCATTCCTGACCCCACGGGCGTGGAGTTTGTCGTGACTGAAGAGAGTAAAGTCAGCTTGGAAATGAGAACCAAGTGGAGCCAAAGGGCCCAGCAACGCATTAGACGTTGCTCTTCCAGTCCCGCACGGGTCCGGCCTGTCTTCCCCCACACCCACAGCCAGTAGCCTGAAGGTTCCCCCCATCTGCCGGCAGCAAGCAAGGCGGCCCCACACACGTTAACACAGCTTCGAATCCGGGCATTTTTAAATTCCTGCAGGTTCAGGGGAGTGTGTGCTAATAACCAATACTAGCCTCAAATGTCAACTGCATTTTGGGGGGATGCCCTCCACTGAAAGCCTGGGTCCTGGTAGAGTAACATTCACAAGAAAGGCTGCTATACGACACGCACATATCTGAGCCAAGAGAATGCCTTAGGTCTTACAGAGGTAACTGAGAAGCGGGGTTAGCAGATGCCAACTATTAAGCCAAGCATTCAAGCCAAAGAGACCCATAGCATACAACATATCTACACACACACACACACTCACACACACACATACCTCATACATGCTTTTATCATATTCACAACCTCCCTCAACTGTTTTCAGATCCAGCCCACTTGCCTATCCATCCAACATTGTGTCTTTTTTTTCAAACCCACCCAGACCACGTTTGTGCCGTCCAAATGACCTTGGGTGTGTGGCCCTCTGCTGAAGTACGGTCACGTCAGAAGTCACTACCTTAGAGAAAGCTGACTGCCTCCCCAGCACCTGACAGCCGCCAATAGCTCCATCCCCTGGGACGGGATTGTGCCCGGGCTTGCACAGATGCCGTGGGTGCTGTCACAACTGCCGTGAGTTCACACGTGCAGCTGTCCTGCTCTGTCCAGAAGACGCCGCCCGCTTGTGATCATCACGACCTCTGGCTGTCGTATTCTTTCTGCCCCCTTTCCCGACAATGATCCCGAGCCTTGGTAGGAGGCGGTGTGGCAAATATGTTCCATTCAGGACTATGCATTCTAGAGTTCCTTACCCTCTGCACCTTGCACCTTGGCTAGCTGTGGATTAGGTGTTAATCACCACCTATTGCAAACAGAAGCTTACATGACGAGGGCTGGGAGAGGCATGGATCCATGGGTTTAATGGTGTCGTTCAGACTCAGTTTAATACTTTGTCCCTAGGGCATCTGTAGACATGGGTCTCCAAATTCTTACATTCATGCACCCAAAAGGCTACAGAATGCAGTAACATTTTATATTTTTAAAAGGAGTGAATACTGGCCAGGCGGTGGTGGTGCACGCCTTTAATCCCAGCACTCAGGAGGCAGAGGTAGGTGGAACTCTGTGAGTTCGAGGCCAGCATGGTCTACAGAGTGAGTTCCAGGACAGCCTCCAAAACAATACAGTGAAACCCTGTCTCGAAAAACCAAAAAAAGAAAGAAAGAAAGAAAGAAAGAAAGAAGGAAAGAAGGAAAGAAGGAAAGAAAGAAAGGAAAAGAGTAAACGGATACTGGGGGTAACAGTGGGGCAGGCCTTTCATCCCAGCACAGAGGCAGGCAGATCTCTATGAGTTCAAGGCCAGCCTGGTCTACAGAGTGAGTTCCAGGATAGTAGCCATTCCAGGGTACAGAGGAACCAAAATAAAGAAAAGGAAAAGTAGTGAGTAAGTAATTACTCTCATGCCTAGAAAACATGAATAGTGACTTTTGCTAATTCCGGATTGAAGCATTAACTTTGCGGGGGGGGGGAGGATCCTCTTTTACCCTAAGAGTTGGCTTGGAGCCTAATGGAACGGCTCATTTTTCTCCAAGGCATTTGGTAAAAGCCACTCTCAGCCATAAGATGTTGGACTTGATTTGATGTGGCAGGTACTACTTTCTCGGAAGTAATGTATGCCTCCAGAGCTAATGTAAAACCTCAGCATGGGAATTACAGCAGCTACTCTTATCTCCATAAATATCACAATTAATCACTTAATGTGCAGTGTCCTCATGGAGCGGGGGCCTAGGATGCCACATTGCTTTTTAAACGTTACGTCTTCTTGCTCTCACGCAAAAGAGATTATATCATTTAAAAGTCACTCAAGATTTCTTCTTAGATCTGCAGCTTTGTTTAAGAGCCTTCCCGGAGGCAAAATGCCATTTCCTTTCTCCAAAAGACGGAGAAGGGCTCGGGGGAGTTTCCCTTGAAGAGCTCAGTGCTTGGGCAGTTGGCATAAGACTACAGAGTGCGGCTGACCAAGCCGGGCGGGCTAGAAAGAAAACACAGGCTTCTGATGGAAAAGGACCTCATGGGGTCTTTATTAGCGCAGTCATTTGGCGAGGGAAGCATAAAGCCACTTTTAAGGGGCGCTTTAAGGGACTTGTCATTGGCGGGGAAGACACCGAGGAGAAGCCCGTGCTAAGGATGCAGCAGCTAATCAATCAGTTAGCTACGTGTGTAGAAAATTGTAAAAGAGGCTTACTCTTTCTTTCTTTTTTTTAATGCAGATGACAATTTTCGGGGTTCTGTTTAAGTTCTGGCCGCAGTTTTGTGCGTTTAGGAAGAATCTAACAGATGAAAAAATCATGAGCGTTTTAGAGAGAAGACAAGAGTATAAGCAGAAAAAGAAACTGTCAGAGTCAGAGGAGGACAAGATGGGAAAGGTAAGACAGAATCCACTCTAGCCGGAGCCGCGCTCGTAAAAGATAAGGTGGCGTGCATGACTTGTAGAAGAATGTGGGCCGGGGAATAGAAAGAGGAGTTGGGGACACAGGCTTTAGTGACTTAAAGCCTTCTCGGACGGTTGGCGAGTTTCCCAAAATTGATGTCAAGACACGTTCCCTTCTTCATGAAGACTTTCTTGATGCCTCTAGACAACACCAGCAGCTTCCATCCGCTGGAGTGATGGTTCTTTTGTGTGTGTGTGTGTGTGTGAGAGAGAGAGAGAGACAGAGACAGAGACAGAGAGAGGCGTATGTGTGTGTGATGTACGCATATTTATGAGTGAGATGCCTGTGAACACACATGCAGACACCAGAGCAGGAACTCCTCCTGTCCCTCTCCATCACCCTATACTCTGTGACTATGAATCAAGGTCCCTCAGTGAATCTGGAAGCATCCTGGCCCAGTGATCCTCTGGTCTCCATGCCCACAGTTCTTGGGGTTACAGGGTACCTGACCACACCCATCTGTTATGCCACAGTGTGCATGTTTTCTTTGGGCGATACTATGCCTTCTTAAGGTCTCGTTATCTGTTTCGGGATAACTTAGGTTTTTGGTTTTTTTTCCTTACAGACCGGTCTCAAACAGTACGCAAGCACTACGGGCTCCCTAACCAAAGCTCCTCTAGCCAGCGAGTCCTTGCTAGGCCTGCAAGCCTATGGCCGGCAGGTAAGACACCAGGGCCCACTTCCTCTCCAGGGCAGCGGTGCACAGTGACTCGGCCACTCAGCAGCAGGAGGCGGCATGTGACACAGGCTAAAGGGGTTCTAGGGGTGTGGCTGGCCAGCGTATGGTACAGGCACAGAAACGGCTAAAATGGTAACCCTCGGCACGGCTGGGAAGGAACGTCCTCCAGCCTCCAGAGAACGTGCAGGCTACCCCGATCATGGGCAGTGTCGTGAAGGAAAACTGTGTTCTACTGGCTTGGAAGTTTTCCCCGCAGAGCACACTGGGAATTGAAGTCCAGGGCTCAGGACGTACTAGGCATGTGGTCCTCACTGAGCCCTTCCTTAGCTCACAACGATTTAACTTGAAGACAGCCAGAGTGACAGTCTCCTTGGAGAAAAGAATATGGATGTGACAACCACCATAGACTAGTGTGTCGGGTTTGTGCATGTCAGGGAATGCTAAACGCTTAGCCAGTTTCTTAATTCTGCGTGTTACATACCCGCCACCTAGTATATTTACGTTCTTATGTTTACAGCTCGAGCCTTCATATCGGTTCCCTGAAACATGAGTTTAATCTGTATCCATTTTTTTTTGTTTTTTTACGAGACAGGGTTTCTCTGTATTGTTTTGGAGGCTGTCGGTCCAGCCTGGCCTCGAACTCACAGAGTTCCGCCTGCCTCTGCCTCCCGAGTGCTGGGATTAAAGGCATGCGCCACCACCGCCTGGCATCTGTATCCATTTTTAATGACTTGTATTTTAAAAATGTTTGCACTAGCTCATGAAACAGTCTTTCCTGCACATAGAAATGCCACATAAGTTGTTGCCCCGCTGAGAAAACCGACAGGCTATAAAACCCACAGAAGGAGAAATGACTGGTCTTGTAGATACGTGTGCCGACAGCTCCATCTGATGTGGACCCAGAACACGCATCAGCAAATGATGGGCGTGTCCTGTTGGAAGGGCAACATGAGCTTAAATGAGGGGGATGTAGACACAGAGGCCCTGAGCTCTGCCCGTATCAAAGTGTTACTCTGCCTCATGAACGGGACATAGAATCCCCTGGGAGCCAAGAGAGAAACAGTGATGGCCAGGGTAATACTCATGTCCTATAGTAGCTTCAGAGTTCTGTAGGAAACTGCACAGTTTCTGCGTGTCAGAGGCACTTAAAAAAGCATGCATACTTACAGTTGGTTTTTGCTGTTTTAGGTCTGCATGTTGTCACTCTAGAAACTGGGGAATAATGATAAATTATTGCTGTTCAGCAGTCAGTCTTAATTCAAAATTATCACCACCAAAATAACCTTGGGTGTTTTGTAAGCACATAAACTCATAATTAATGTGTCATAACAGAGTCACTGTAACCATACCCATTAGCTCTTGCGGCCTTACTCACTGGTCAGCAGTATTGTAAGTTCCAACAGGCCACTGAAAAGTTTAAGTAAAGGAACAATACTTATTTTACCTCCAGTTTGTCTCCTGGGGCAAGTCTGGCAAAATGTTTAATGAGCCTGAAAACTATTATTATTTATTTATTTATTTTTAGCCAACCTGGTGCTATTCAAAGTACATCGAAGCCTTGGAACAGGAGCGGATCCTTCTGAAAATTCAGGAAGAAGTGGAAAAGAAAATGCTCACAGGTGACTTTCACCTCCTGCCGTGCGCGCAGGGTCACTGTGCTATCATCTAGCTCAGCTCTTAGGAGCTTGCGCCCGTGGCTTCCCTGTTTTTCCCCTCTCTGGTATCTCGGCGCAGGTACATACATCATCTTTCACAAACTCGATTAAGCTTCCCACTGGCTCCACTATGTTCTTGAAGAAGAGCCTCTCTCCCCACAGCATTCAGAGTCAGTTCCCGAGATCTTCTTCAGCTGTCATATTCCCGCTCCTATCCTAACCTGCCAGAGCCAGAGGCTCCCCCCCCCTCCCCCTGCTCTCCCCACCGCGGCTCCCCACCCTCTACTTAGGAGAACGTTCAGTCTCTCTGTGTCTGTGGAATTTCTCTTCCGCCACCACCGCCACCGAGGGAGGAGTCACGGAGACCCATGCCTAACTCTGGTCTCCTGTTTTCCAGGGTAGAGACATTCAAGCGGGATGCTCACACTCTGCTGTTGATAGGTGTGAGGTAAGCGGACTGGGAGACTCCCTTTTACTGCACACCCACCCACCCAGGCAAACCCCCTGAGGCCCAGACCAAACCACATGCCCACCCGGAGACACCACAATCACACCCGTGCGCCTCGATACCAAACCAAAGGGTAGGAACAGCTCTCCATGACGAGATTCCTGGGGGGGGGGGGGCTTCTGTTTACCGCTTACCAACCTCTTCCATCAAGAACCTGGAGGGCAAGTGGGCCCTGGCTCAGGCTCCCTAATGCGTCCTGACACAGGTAGTATTGTAAAAGACTCAACACCAAGCCCGAGTCTCTCTCCGTCCACGTGCAGATGAACCTGCAGGATTTTGGTTGGACTCAAACGTTGAGAGTTTACCAAGCCCTCCTTTCCACAGCAGTCTAGCGCAGAACGTGTTGCGCCTGTAGACAGCTGGGCCACATACCCAAAGTAGCCAGTGAAGGCTCCTATACCTCTCTTATCCTTGGCTGGTTTCAACGATGGTTTTCCAGCTCTTGGAGGCTGGGGGAGAGGGTGGACCCAAATGTTCTCAGGCTGCTGATCTTGTTTTCCTTCTCGTTAGCCTCCACACAGCACCCTTCCAGACTACCACATCTTGGGTTAACTTCTTAAGACCCTGAACACCAAGGACGCCACATTTGTTTGTTTTTAGTGACAGTTCTTTTAAATTTGTACTCTTATTGTTTGGATTTATTTTCTATATGTCTTTGTTTCATGCATATTTTTTTTTCCTTTGCAGGATTTCTTTAAGCCAACTTGAACTAACATGAGCGGCTGATTGCCCAAGATTTTGGAGAGTCTGCGTTACCTTGGAATACTATCTACTATCTAGGCTAGAGGAATTAAAATTGTTTGCCTACCATAGCCCTCGAGGAAAAAGCAATATTACGCTCCCTTGTGCCACCTTCCAGCAAATGCTCTTTGCAGGCTTGCTTCAGTTAGCAGATCTACTCATTGGGCAGCTAGGGGTGTGACTCTTCCTAATATAGTTGATGAAGACACTCCCTCCCCCATTCCCAGCCGTGATGAGACTGTGCCAAGGCAGCGGTTTCCACGGAGCAGTGTGCGAAAGACTCACACGACGTGGGTTAGCATTTCAGGCTCCATGGGTCACTCCCCGCACCCCTTCTGGTTACTCACGGAAGACACCCTGGAACTACCAGACGCCTAAGTGACTTCCACACAGACTTACTACACTGCAGATTGCTCTTTGCAGCGTGTTAGGGCAGAATGAAATGGTACTCGGAAAGGGTACAGGGCCACCCGTGGGACAAAAGGGGACCAGTCTCTCACACACACACACCTGATGCTTGTTCCTGCCTGGGGGGAGGAGAACATGGGAGAGAGGACCCTGATAGGGCCATTTGTGGCTCACATCTCCGAGGGCCTCCGGGGACTGCAATCCAGATTAGAATCTGTGTCCTACAGTCACACGTGGTCCCAGAAGGTCATTTTCAAAGACAAACCATCGCCCCAAATTCTCGACGTGGTTTGGGATTTTAAATAGGGAAAGTGTCAGATGGCTTCCTTCATCTAAGGGACTAGCAGACACTCGTTATCTGTTCTGTGTGTGTCTCTCTGTGTGTGTGTGGGGGGGGGGGTTAAGGCCATGATGTACAGCTGTCGTTGACCCTCCTGAGTCTTGGGATGACCAGACAACGTGTGGACCACCACACCTTGCTTGATAAAAATATCACTGGCACCGCAGGGGCTGCCTGCAGGCGGAGGCCACCCGTTACCACCATTCTTTGATGCACCCAAAAACTGTTGCCTTTCTGTTTTCTGAGCTGCTTTCTTGTTGCAAGGGTGCTTACGACGACTCCCAACCCTCCCCATGCGAGAGCCACGCCCTGATGTTTGGCATCTGTGTTTTAAGTGTTCTGTAGACGGTTTGCTTAACTACACAATTTATAGTCAAGAGGCTAGTCTGCCTATGACGTTAGTGGCCATTTTTATGCTGTTAAGTATTTGCATGTTCAATTTTGGCTCTAACTCAAAGCATGGAACAGAATTACTGACACCAGGAGGGTTTTTGTTTGTTTGTTTGTTTTACAGCTGTGTGCCCATGCGTGTCCGGCACTGGCCTGTTGGTTCTTCTTAATGTCCTTTGAGCTCTCTGTTGCTGGGTAGTTACCTTATTCTAGAACCGCATTGTTGATATCCTGACTTCTCCCTCTCCCTGGGTCCTGGGCAACCTGGTCCTGTTCCTGCTCCCATCTCTTCCAGGTCTGTGCTTCCGTAGGGAACCTCTCCTGGTCATGGAACCTCTCTAACTCTCAGGCTCTCTCTCCCGACCCTGGGATCGCTCTTCTCCATCTTTGACAGGCGATCACGCCCCAAAGATGCACGGCTGCATCACGCATGCGTTAGGTAGCTGCATAAGGACTCTGCATGCAGAAACCATGTTGAACTGGGGCCGCACGGAGCAGCTCCGTGACTCCAGTTTCAATGGCCCCAACTGCTGAGACTCATTCGAAACCGTTCCCGTACCCTGTTATAAGCAAGCGTCTCCTGCCTCTTCTCTCTCTCTCCTTTCCATTCCTGCTCCCAGTCGGTTAACACCCACCCCTCCCTTTGCTCCCTTTCCCAATAAACTCCATGCGGGTTTGTTGAGTTTGGTGAATGGTGTTCATCGCCCAAAGCTGCAACAAAGAAAAATACCCAGCACCCAGAATCTGGAACTTAGTTTATCTCTTTCTTCTGCATGGTCACTTTCTACCTGTCTTCAGGGAACAAACATGATATTTCCCTGGCTAAGTGCCCTGCTGAGGGCAGGGCTGATACACAGGCCCCTTATTTGGCACAACCGCCGTGATCCTGGTCAGATCTAGCGACACTGCTTTCTTAGAGACACAGACCGCCACACTCGTCTTCCCCTCCGTGGCTCGAGTCTCTTCATTGCACGACAGCGGGGGAAGGAAATGGCTTTAGTATTAAATCTCTAGAAGGCAAACACCACTGTTCATCTAAAAAGTTTAATACAGCGACGTGCTGCGACGTGACACAGCCCACAGCCATCCAGGAATCTCCCTTGCCCCGTGCACATGAGCGCGGGACCGTCCGTCTGTATCGATGGCTGGGTGGGATGGCTTGCCCTCAGTGTGGGTTAGGCCGGGGACTGAACCAGACAGGAGAAGCTGGAGAAGCCAAAGAGCAGGCAGCACAGTTCCATCCTCCTCTCTCTGCTCTCCTCTGTGGAATGGCTCTCACCTGGGATTGTAAGCCAAACTAACCCTTTCTTCTCCAAGTCGGTTCTTGCATTTAATATAGAGATGCTATATTTTAGACAGCCTTAACTGTCTTTAAATCTAACTTAAGAGTGTGTACAGATGACTAAATAAATTCTAACTGTGCCCTATCTGGGCATTTGATGAAATATATTCTTTGTTTTAATGAGTTTTCTTTTTTTTTAAATACCTCACTTTTGTCAGGTGCAGGTGTTGAGTACACTAATCTATGTCATGCCAACCTGTGCTCTAGAAAATGGGGAACTTGAGCTCATAGTTCTGTTACATTATTTGAGGTAAATACAAGTATTTTGAAGGAAATTCAGTGGAAGTAACCCAAAAGTATTCTGGCCAGTTAAAGATATAATCTGTGCTATATTCCTCCTCCTCCTCCTCCCTGCCCTCCCTCCTCCTCCTCCTCCTCCTCCTCCTCCTCCTCCTCCTCCTCCCTGTCCTCCCTCCTCCTCCTCCTCCTCCTCCTTCATTTTTCCAGATAGGGTTTCTGTGTGTAGCCCCTCGGTGTTCTGGCACTCACTCTGTAGACCAGGCTGACCTTGAACTCAGAGATCCACTTGCCTCTGCCTCCCAAGTGCTGGGATTAAAGGTGTGCACCACCAATGCCTAGTTGAGACAAAGTCTCTTTATGTAGACCAGGCTGTCCTGGAACTCAGTATGTAGACCAGGCTGCCCTGGAACTCACCAGCCTTGCCTCTTCTGGGATTAAAGGCGTGTGCTACCACATCTGGCATGCTATATTTCTTTAACATTTATCTTTCCATTTGTCATATAATTGAAAAATACTTCCCCCCCCCTAGTTGTCATAGTTTACAATGGAATTCCTTCCTACAACGATAGGTCCAGTGAGGGCGGGGCTGCAGCCCCGACAGGAGAGCACCTCCCTGGCATGTAGGAGGCCCTGCCACCAGGCAAAACAATAACCCATCCACAGACTCGGCAGAAATTAGGTCTAGCTCTGAATCTGTTCCTCTTCCTTACGTGGAGCAGTGTATCCAATCTCTTTGAATCTCTGTGAAGTCATTCGTAAAGAACTCCAGGTCTTTTGTAGCTCTAACTGGCGATTCTGTGGTTGATTAAATTGGTTCTTGGACAATGTCCTTTGTGTGGATGGGGCTTTCATTCTGCTTAGTTCTAGCTTCCACCTGTCCCCCATAGACCCCTTTTCCATAGTCGTTTCTATTTTTTTTTTCCTTTTTCTGACCTGGATCGCCTGTGTGACCATGGGTTTAAAACTATCCCTCAGAGTCCTTTGGCACAAACTAGACCATGACTATCCCTCCCGCAGAATCTTCCAGTTGCCTATGGTTCAGTAGGGGCAGTAGGGCCCTATGAGCCCCTCCCCTATCTGTGATTGGCGGTCGACAGGTTCCGAAGTAAGTGACCACAACGGCTTTGAGAGCCCATTTTCAGGGGCTGCTGAGTCCTGAAGGTACCTGTTGTGTGATTTTTTTGTTTTGTTTTGTTTTTTGAGACAGGGTTTCTCTGTGGCTTTGGAGGCTGTCCGAACTCGCTCTGTAGACCAGGCTGGCCTCGAACTCACAGAGATCCGCCTGCCTCTGCCTCCCGAGTACTGGGATTAAAGGCGTACACCACCAACGCCCAGCTCCTGTTGTGTGATTTTGTCTGTGCTCTGACAAGTAAAGTTTGCCTGAAGATCAGAGGGCGGAGCTAGCCACTAGCTAACCATAGAGTCTGGAGGTCTGTACAGACAGACAGGAAGTGATGCCATGGGGCAGAGACAGGATCTCGGCCCTTTCAGTCGGAGAATTCAGAGAGGTAAGAGGTGACTGTAGCTGCTCTTTTGTTTCTCTGGTCTTTCAGCTTTTACCGGCTATCTGACTCCAGGTGTTTATTGTTAAGACCAATTAGGGTCACGCTTCATCCCAGCCTGGCTTCCTAGCTCCCAGCTTCCTGTTCTTTCTGTCCCCTCTTCCACGGTGAAGGACTTTCTAATGGGGCTTCGAAGTTTTAAAAGATCTACACCGCAGTGAGAATTTATTTCAAATTAGGGCCTTAGATCTAAAGATGAAAAGAAAAACTCAACATCCATAATGTTTCCTTTTCCCGGAGTCAGAGACACACCAGGCTCCCCAAGGGTTAAGCGCTGTTTAGAAAGCTCTCCGAAGGAGTGGCCATCCCATGTCGGATCTTTGGAGAGCAGAGCACTGCTTCATGCTGCTCCTTTGAAAGCGATGGCGCCAAGCAGGTGACTCTTGGGTCCTCAGTTACACAAAGTTGGCTGCTTGATTATCAGCTGCGAGACCCTACCCCACACAGAACCGCAGCAGTAGCTCTGGAACATAAGCCAGCACCCGCCCACGTGGTCTGGGAACCTGGTTCAGCTCGACAGAGCACTTGCCTGGCATACTTGAGGCCTTGCGTTCAGTCTCTGCCCAGCACAAGCCTGGTGTGACCGTGCATGCCTGTAATCCCAGCGCTTGGGAGGTGGAGGCAAGAGGACCAGCAGCTCAATGCCAGCCACAGCCGCAAGGTGACATGGGGGCTAGCACAGGTTTCATGAGACTCCGGCTCAAAAGGAAGCTGTGTGTGTGTGTGTGTGTGTGTGTGTGTGTGTGTGTGTGTGTGTGTGTGTGTGACATCTCAACATTTGGGAGACTGGAGCAGGAAGATGAAGAGTTTGAGATCACTTTGTGCATCATAACAAGACCTTACCTCAAAAACAACCAACCAAAACCTTATGCTGCTCAAGGAGATTCCACCCAGCCACTGGGTCCCAGAGACTGAGAGGCTGCCGTTGCTGTGTAGAATCATTTCCATAGCTTCCACTGCAAGGTGAACCAGTGTAGTCACCATGGCTGCCTCTACAGTGTGAACCATTCATCTCCATGGCTGCCAACTGCAGGGTGACCTACTGCAATTGCCTTGGCTCCCATTTCAAACACAGCTTCTGGGAACTGTCCCATAGACCCTCTAACAGTTCCAGAGATCTTACCATGGCCATAATGCCTTCAGATGGACTTAGATGACCTGGTCTACAGTCACCCTGGACCTTCTCTGCAGTAGTGCTCAATCTGTCTGGGCAGAATACCTCCTAACTCACGATAGTTAGGCGTGATGTACCCCTGCCTCCTCTAAGCAGTCTAGGGGAGCTCCTTCCTATGCTTTGGCCAAGGCCCCAGTAAAGCCTCATTTGACTGCCCTGTTGCCTGCTTGTAGTCTTTGTCGTGGGCTGAATAGCTGACCTGGTACTGAGAGCAGGCATCTCCCCCAGCGCTGCCCACCACAGGCACACCCAGCAGCAGTTCTGACTCTCCAAGCCTGGAGCGATAACACCAAGAAGCAAGGGCCCCAACACTACAAACTCAGAGCTCCGACTAACTCCTCGTGCTGGGTCACTGGTACAGTCCAGAGCTGACGCACTGCGTGCAGACCTGACAGGGTAGGCTGAAGCTGTTGACACAGAGGGAGCCATACTTTGCCTGTTCACGATCCCCATGTGAACTCGAAGCTGATTGGGGCAGGTTACACGGGACTAACATACTCAGCAGTACAGGGCGCAATTAAAAGTGGGGTCTGTTTCTACCTCTCTCCTCATTCCTCTTAGTGATGGAATTCCAATAACTACGGAACGGATCTCACCATCACGTCTCAGCCTACTTCAGGGGGGGATGTTACAGAGCAAAGTAGCCATCATCATCATCATCAGACAAGCTTGCCTGCTCTCTCTCAACAGCTGGGCTTGTTGACTGCCGGCGTTCCCTCATAGGACCAGGTGGAGAAGATAACTGGCCACTCACAGATGTTTCCAGTAACTCCTCTCCGCCATTTGTGTACAATTCTGCCTTAATTGCTATGGTCTCCAGAGTACAGACAGGAGGAGACTGACAGAAGGGGCCCTGCTTATACAGCCATCTTCCATGATGAGCACGAGCCCTTGTTTTGTTTTCCCCATATTTTTCCGTGTTTTTCCTTTTACTGAAAATGGATACTTTCCTCACACAGCATGTCCTGGTTATAGTTTTCCCTCCCTCTGCTCCTTCCAGCTGTCCCCCACCTCCCCTCCAGACCCACCCCCTGTCTGTCTCCCATTAGAAAAGAGCAGGCTTCTAAGAGATAGCAGCCAAATGCGACAGAGTAAAGACGTGAAGCAAAGAAACCGTCACATCGAAGTTGGAGAAGGTGACCCAGCGGAAGGCAGAGAGGCGCAGGCACGAGAAGCAGACCACGCGTTGGTTCTCACACCCTGGAGCCCCATAAAAACGCTAAGCTGAAAGCTGTGACGTAAGTGCAGGGGACCGGGTGCAGACCCTGCCCTTGCCGCTTCAATCTCTGCAAGCTCACAGGCACCTGCTTAACTGACTCAGAGGGCCTCCTCCTCCTCTTCCTCTTCCTCTTCCTCTTCCTCCACCTCTTCCTCCCCTCTTCCTCCTCCTCTTCCTCCACCTCTTCCTCCCTCTTCCTCCTCCTCTTCCTCCTCTTCCTCTCCTCTTCCTCCTTCCCTCCTCCTCCTCCACCTCTTCCTCCCCTCTTCCTCCTCTTCCTCTTCCTCTTCCTCCTCCTCTTCCTCTACTCTTCCTCCTTCCCTTCCTCCTCTTCCTCTACTCTTCCTCCTTCCCTTCCTCCTCTTCCTCCTCCTCTTCCTCCTTCCCCTCCTTCTCTTCCTCCACCTCTTCCTCCCCTCTTCCTCTCCTCTTCCTCTACTCTTCCTCCTTCCCTTCCTTCTCTTCCTCCTCTTCCTCCTTCCCTCCTCCTCCTCCACCTCTTCCTCCCCTCTTCCTCCTCCTCTTCCTCTCCTCTTCCTCCTTCCCCTCCTCCTCTTCCTCTTCCTCCTCCTCTCTGGTGGACTTCCCCGAACTCTGAGGGGAGGGATTTGATGGAGACCTCCCATTTAGACTCTCATGCCACGTAATGTCTGGCTGTGGGCCTCTACATCTGTCCCCATCTGCTGCTGGAGGAAGGCTCTCTGATGATGACTGCTAAGGCTCTGATCTGTGGATGTAGTAGACTATCATTAGGCGTCAATCTGTTGATACATATATCAGTCTCTTGGGGCGTGGACGTTTGTGCATTTGGTCACCTTTGGTTTTTGGCAAGGTTCTGTGAGAAGGCACCGAGCAGAATCCACTCACTAGTAGATGCAGAAAGAATCACAGTCTGGCCGGGAGGCACATGCT